GTGCGTGAATCTTTGCACCACTGTCGCTGCTCGCTTCGAGATTGGCTCGGCGCAGAAGGCCAGCTAGTCCTGTGGCGAGTGCAGTGACCAGGAAGTTATCTGTTCGTTCACCGGGGAAACTTCGCATGGCACTTGCTAAATACATGACGAGTCTTTCGGTGGCCCTGATCTGCACAAAGAAATACGTGAATCCAGTACATCAAAGTGAGCATTGTAGCCGACGTGTGGCGTCGACAGTGACGATGCGGTCGTCGAAGGATGCCGACGAACTATGTGTGTAATACTTCAGCTTGCGCGCAATAGTTTTACCAAATCAGTGAAAAGGGAGATCGAGTGAGAGGGCAGGGATGCGGAGGAAAGGAAAAGCAGGAGGAACGAACTGGGGAGGATGGATTGGGGAGCAAGAGGGGGAATACAGGGAGTTGGAGGTGGAGGTGGAGGAGGAGAACAAGCAGGAGGAAGTGGTCGAGATCGAACAGGATGCATGGAGAATATTTGGAGGAAGAAAAGGGGGAACCTCAAGTAGCACGTGAGCAGGGGAGGCGGCGATGGCACCAGAAAAGTCGACTGACGACTTGGAAGATAAGCCTCCGACGGGTGGCTACGCCAAGACGTCCGAGGGAGTCCTGGGGGGCGTCAGGATCATCGCCGCAACCATCGTCATCATCATCGTTGTCAAGATGATCACCGCCATCACCACCACCATTTGTTTCTGTCTGCCTCCTCGAGGCAGTCTTCAGCTGATGTTCTGGGCAGCCTCTTCTCGGGCATTCTTCTGGATACTCCCGAGGACGGTCTCGAACGAGGCGAAGCGCGGCTCGGCCAATCTTCCGCGATCTTCACGGTGGATGGGCCGCTCCCATCGCTGGTGTGGCCGCCTGGCTCCGCCGGGGCAGTGCCGCGGGCCTGCCCGCGCCGCTCGGCCAAGACCTGCTCGCGCCGCGGGGCTGCAGTCGCCACCGTCGGCGTGCGGAGTGTGTTTGCGGCTGTGCGCTCCGCGCCGATCTGGGCGGGTGGCCCGTGCCTGGGAGTTCGGGTCACCCTCGGCCCGACAGAATCATCGTTTCTTGCGCGCCCAAGCGTTTTTAACGGGCGGAGCTGGGCTCCCTGGCGCGAACGGCCGAGCGACCCCTGCAGCTGGACACTCTGGCAACACGGTGGGCCGCCACAGAACTCTTCGCGGCAACGCTCACGCTGCGCCAAGAACGGTGCCGAACAGGATGTGCAGTGGGTATGTTTTCCACCGTCCCGCGGGCGCCCCGCAGGCTGGTCGTGGTGAGAAAGAGCACTGCGCCGTGAAGGATTTCGACCGGAGCCTTCGACCCCCTCCGTGTCTGGCTTCTTTTTTTTCGAGCTGGGGATCGATCCTGGAGGGCCCATGAGGTCGGGACTCCTGGCGCACGCGGCCATCGTGTCGGTTTCGCGATGCCCGGCTCGTGACTTTGCCGTCGGTTGTAGCTGGAAGTTGCGCTTCGAAGGCTCGAGGTGATCGTGCTGTATACTCAGTGCCTTTGTGGCGTGCGGGGCCTTGCGGGGTTCAGTCGCCGAAGCGGGGGACACCAGTCTGCGCATCGCCATTATCCGCATCGCCACCAGGATTATCATGATCACCATGCCCATCATTATCATAACGATCATCATGATCATCACTATCAACACGGTCTTCATGTTCATCATGCTCATCATCATCATCATCATCTTTGCATCCCGTCGCCGTCGTCCCCGTCTTCGTCATCTTCATCGCCACTGTCTTCGGCATCATCTTCGTCATCGTCATCGTCATCGTCATCGTCAATATTGTCATCATGATCGCCATTCCACTGACATCACCATTATCACCATCATCTCCATCCTCATCTTCATCATCATCAGCATCATCATCATCATCATCATCGGCATCGTAATTGTCCTCGTGTTCATCATCATTGCCATTTTCATCACCATTGTCATCCCTGTCGTCATGATCACCATCATGATCATCACAATGACCATCATCACCATGTTCCTCTTCTTCAGCGTCATCATCGTCGTCATCTTCTTCGGCCGTCCGTTGAACATGTATGGCCCATCATGTGCACGTCCTACAATGCTGCCCCTTTGCTATCCTTTTTGCCTACCCGTCTCTTCCCCCCCGTTCTCCTTCGCCTCCCTTCTCTGCTCTGCCGTTTCGTCAACCATTCAAATCGAGAATCGCAGGTGCCAGGTATCGTAGCGGTCCAGGGTTTTCGCCCGCCTGTTCGGAGCCTTGGGCAGACTTCGGGGCACGACTGGCAGAAGAGACGGGGAAAGGAACTTGGCTTAGCAACGGGTGCAGCATAATGGCTTGTGGAGGCACACATTGTATCATGGGTCAAAGAGGAACTCTCTTGGGAGCGTCGCTTTCAACCGCCGGGCTGCGCTGCATACCGAGGTCGATGATCGTCCGGATCGAGCTCCCAGCGCTCTCCAAAGCGGTCCAGGCAGTGGCTTGTGCTTTCGAGTTGGCTGTGTGTGAGCGTGGAAATCGGGATTCCAATGGGCGTGGTCACATATGTACGCACATTATTGTTTGCGTTGTGAAGTCAGTGTGTCTAAAGTGGTTTGAGGTGATGTAGTGCAGGGTTATGTCATGCTATACTATCTTTTGTAGTACAGCTCACCATTCTAGTGCGGTAGTGTGCGCATGATGTATGCAGTGCCTCCCGTGTCGATGTCCCGCGTCATGCCATGCCATGTCACGGCATGCTTTGTGAAGATGGCCTTCGTAGTTGTGTAGTGACATGTCGCGATGTTGCAGGTCACGCCATGCTATATAATCCTACCCAATCATGGTCTGTTATGTTATGAAATCGAGCTGCCTGCGGCAAGCCAAGCCACCGTGTCAGCCCAGCATTCTAGGTGGCGACTGCTCGAGGGGGCACGGGATGCCGTCACGTGTGACGCCTCGTGTCCCCAAGCTGAGAGAGGCGTCTTGATGATGACGGGGAGGATAATGATGATGATGATGACGATGATGATGCTGATGATGAATTTAATAATGATGCTGATGATGGTAATGATGATGAATATGATCATGAGCAGGAGGACGGTGACGATGATGATACTGATGATACATACAGTGACGATGATGCTGATGATGATGATGTTGATGAAGATGTTGATGTTGTAAATGATGATGCTGATGCTGATGATGCTGCTGATGATGACAATGATGATGATGATGAAGTTGATGATGATGATGATGATGCTGATGCTAAGGATGACGACGATGCTGATGCTGACGATGATGCTGATTCTGATGATGATGCTGATGATCATGCTGCTGATGAGGATGCTGATGATGATGATGTTGACGATGACGAGGATGATGATGAATTTGATGCTGATGATGATGACGATGCTGATGCTGATGCTGATGCTGATGATGATGATGATGATGATGATGATGATGATGATGATGATGCAGCTGATGATGTTGATGCTGATGATGCTGCTGCTAATGATGATGATGGTGGTGGTGGTGGTAGTGTTGGTGATGAAGATGATGATGATGATGATGATGATGATGATGATGATGGTGGTGGTGGTGATGATGATGATGATGATGATGATGATGATGATGATGATGATGATGATGATGATGATGATGATGAGGTGGAGGAGGAGGAGGAGGAGGAGGAGGAGGAGGAGGAGGACGAGAAACAGTCAGGCCTTCACATATGGCACCTTTCGTCTTCATGCTGTGTCTGGGGCTCCTGTGGGACCGTCGTGGCCGTATGGGGAGTGTCTTGGGGCCGTCGTGAGGCCGTCTTGCCGCCGTCTGGTGCCGTCGAAGGGCCTCGATAGGCCGCGTTAGGTCTCTATACGGCGGCCCTTTGGCCATCTTGGGGCAGGCCTGCTGGACCATCAGGGGGTCCTCTTGGGCCGTCTTGGGGCCACAGTGGAGGTTTCTTGGGCCGTCGTGAGCACACGCACGCGAGCATGCAACAATCGGTTCAAACACGTAGGACAGTCGATGGTTTTGGCTTCTTCGGACCCTGTTAGGGGTCCGTTTTCCCTCTCGAGCCATCTCGGAGGCATCTTGTGCCGCCTCGGGGCCATCTTGGGCCGCCTTGGAGGCCATCTTGGGCCATCTTGGAGGCCATCTTGGGCTTCCTCGGGCTTTCACTAGCTTCCCCTCCGACTGTCCCTGTGTGCGCGGCACTTTTTCTGGCGGCCGCTTGGCTTCCCACGGCTTCCTGTGGCTTCTCCTCCCACTGGTGCCGTGTGTCACACTTTCGGGTGGCCGCTCGGCTTCCTATGGATTCCCGTGGTTCCCCTTCACGGACCCTCAGTGCTGCATTCTCTTTGGTGGCCGCTTGGCTTCTCATGGCTTCTCAGGGCCTCCTGTTGCTTCCCTGTCGCGATGTGCCGCGATCGGATCAACGCTGGCGCGATGGCACTTTTGCAGACCTTGCAGCGCCGAGCGCGTTGCTTTGGCGAGTGCTCGCAGCCGTCCGCGCGTGCTCAGAGCGTGCTTCCCGGTGTCGGCCAGTGCTTGCTGCCTTCCTGGCAGGGGCCCCGAGTCGCGCCTCTGCGGGTGCCCGCTCGGCTCCCCTCCTGCGTGCCTTCCTCCACCTGCCGCGGGTGGCACGCATTCCTTCGTGCTGGGGTTGCGCCGCAGAGATTGCACAGCGTTGCTGTCTCCGCACCCCGAACACTACTCTCGAACTGTGGACTCCGCCAACCTCCTCCGCCTAGACTTATCTGTACTGCCTGGGCTACTGCAAACGACGTGGTGTTGCCTTACCGTTCATGTCCATATCAAACCATACCATCCTAGCCTGGCCGGTATCGACTCCCCCTTCATCCTTGCCAGGTAATGCCATTCGCGTACATTCTTTGACCAAGGTTTTGTTATCCGAGAATCCCTTGCAACAGGACGTTTCACAAAGCCCACATGCGCGTGCACACGTCGAAATCACCAACCACATACCATTTGCACGCGTTTCAACATGAACACATAAAAAACAACGACGTCGGTTTTCCTTCAAACAACGTGCAGACTTTCTGCCCGCGTGCACTTGCTGAAACCAAAGGGCAACCATCTGATCTCAGCATTCTCGTCAAGAACCCGCATTCTCATTTCAGTACGCGGTGCATCTGCGTTGATCCTGCACGCGCCCACTGCACGAATCCTATCACATAGAGCCATGCGGGCCACACGTGCGTGCCGCCACACGCGCGTGTTGAAATATGCTCAGAAATATTGGTTGTCGACGGATGCCGAGATAAAGCTTCTCAGCCACATCTAACAACACACGTTTTCTTGAGATACGTTTGACTTATGTCTAGAATTCTTGCGCGCTCATTTTTCACCATCACCCGCATCAGCGCCATCGCAAAACCGCCGTTGTCGTCATCGTCAATCGCCGGCATTGCTGCCATGATCAGTCAATCACCTTCGTCACCGACACATGGACACCATTATATCGCCATCATCGTCGTCAGCATCGGTGCCGTTATCGGCTTTGCCGTCGTCATCGGCATCATCGCCACCACCATCGCTGCCATCATTGTTGCCGCCGTTGTGGACGTCATCATGATACCGCGCCCGCCCGAGTCACCAACCTGCGCTGAAGCGCCCGTGCGCCAGCGCGGCCTTTACGACGCGCTGGGAAGTTGCCATCAGTAAGCGCTATCGCGGCCGCATCAGCTGTGCCAAGCCAGCTTGCCGCTCTTTGCTTGCGTGCGCCAGCGTCGCAACGGTGTGTCTGCCAGTGCCAGCAGTCCCAGCAATCGCGGCCGCGCGTGTCTTTCGAAGCAAATTGCGGGTGGGAGGCCGGGATGTTTGCGCGAGCAGTGGAGTTGACAATTCGTTAGCGGCATGAATTAACTTTCGTGTCAAGACGATAGTAAGATTGCCCCTCCCAAACCCAGAGTTGACCGCCTTTTTTGTACTTCAAGTTGCTTTGGGTTGCGCCTCTCAGGTTTACTTTCCTTATGAACTCGTGCCATCCTGGCCCCCCTCTTCCGTGTCAGAAGAACCATGCGTGCGTTCGTTTAGATAAGAATGACATTTTCCACGTCCTTTGCAACAGAAAAGGCCAGAATAACCACGCGCGGACAAATGTCGGAATCATGCCAACACAAGGTTTGCACGGGGTCATCGTAGAAACATCACAAGCACGCCGGCTGTTCAGCACGGGCCTTGCAGACTCTTTGCCCGCGCGCATCTCGTGGAAGTCTCAGGAAGCCAGGTGATTTGAGCAACCTCGGCCAGAACCCGCGACCTCACTTCTCCACGCGAGGCGTCCGCGTGGAGCTGCCCTTCGCCCAGGGCGCGAGACCGCGCAACACTTCGCGGATACCAAGGCGGGCCACGCGCGCGCCGCCACGCGCGCGGGCGCCGAGAAGCCGGTTCAGGGAGCGCCGGTCCGCGAAGCATTTCAAGACGGAGCTCTTCAAGAGCACGTGGAACACGACCTGGTCTCCAACAAAGAGTTGTTTGATTCATTGGGTTTCCGCGCGCGCGTTTGCCCGCCATCACCCGCGCCAACGCCATCGCAGCGCCGCAGGTATCGTCGTCGCCATTTCCTAGCATTGCCGCCATCATCCGTTAATGACCTTTTTTCGCCCACGCATGGACATCATCATGCCATCGCCTTAGCCGACGTCTGCGCCGTCATTTGCCTTGCCGCCGTCATTGTCATCATCGCCACTGCCGCCGCTATCGTCATCATTGTTCTTGCCCGTGCCGATGTCATCATGATTACCGCGCCCGCCCGAGTGACCGATCCGCATCGAAGTCCTCGCGCGCCAGCGCGGTTTCTGAGACGCATTGGGATCTTGCCATCGGCAAGCGCCATCTCGGCCGCAGTAACAGTGCTAAACCAGTCTGCCGCTTTGTGCGCGAGCCTGAGCGCGCCACTGCGGCCGCACACATGTTCCAGTCTGGGCCGAGCAATTGCCAAAATCGCGGCCGCGTGGGTTTTTGCAAAACAAGGTGCGTTGGGGGTGGTGGTTTGTTTGCATGAGCACTGTCCCAGGAAGAGCCCGGACCTATCGCTACCCCGCCCGAGCCCAGACTTAGCTCTACCCCCTGGACCATGGCGAATTAAACATGGTTTGGCTTCGTCGTTCATTTTCCAATTGGGCTCGTATCATCCCAGGCCCACCAGTACCGCCCCCCCCCTATCCCTGTGAAATAATTCAATGTACGCTCTCGTTTGTCACAAATGAGAGCATTCTCCCAGAGTCCGTTGTCGAGCAGGACCACAAGTTCCACGCGCGCGCACTTTCGGACCCATCACAAACACATCAGCTTTGCAAGCACTTCGACTTAACAATGTAAAAGCCAACGATTTTCATCACACATAGTGTAGGTTTCTGCCTGTGGGCATTCGTTGAATTCGTAGACCAGCAGCTTAATTTTAGCAAGCTTGTCCATAGCTCGCATTCGCATCCCACCGCGCGGCGCGGTTCATCAGCATTGGTCCAGGACTCGCCAAGTGCGCTAATTCGAATCAAATCTTACCCTGC